TCTCGATTCGTAATGGTATTCTTTTCGAAATTCGGATATATTTTATAATTATGCTAAAGTTGTACCACCCTGTGCCAGTATAAATACGTACAAATTTCGTTTTTGCTTTCTACAACTCAAAAGTTAACTAATATTTTATTCGAAAATTGGCTTGAAGATCCGAAAATCGAATTACAGAATATAAAAAATCCGAATTCGAGTAAATTTTTTTTCGAATCGACTTACAGAATAGGCCCCCTGAATGTTTTTTTACGAAAAATTTATTGTGCAAAAGCCTCTCACTTTTTTTAAAGGTTAAATGATTACTAACGCTCCTTGATCTCTACTAAGTTTTGATTGCAAAATTCAAGAAATAAATTTATTTAAAAGTATAATTTTTCAGTTTATTAATTTATTATTAAAGCAAATTTGTTCTATGTAATAAATAAAGTTCCACATTTGGCAGCTTAGATATAATAGTTAATTATTTCAACTCATCGTCTTCTTCCTTTTGGGCTAATTTATTTGGATTTCCTTAACTTTCTTCACTTCTTTCTTTTTCTTCATTGCTTTGTCTTATTATTTCTCTAATTTTTCTCAATTCTGCTATTTCTTCCATTTCCGTCATTTCTTTATTTTTCTATAGTTCTTTTAAATTCGTTAATTCCTTTTCCATGATTTTTTCTTTTTCGTTTACTTCTCTTACTTCCTGTACTTTTGCCGCTTCCGCCAAAAAAGTGGTTGAAACTGTAAAACTGTAATATATTCCAGCCTTAGGCAGTGCTTTAGCCTCAGACCATTCATCCTTTTTCGTATCGTAAACTGACACGTTATTTGTGTAAGACGTTTTGGAACCGCCGCCAACGGCCCAAAGTTGTTGGTCTATAAAAATGCAACCCAAGCCCCACCGGCCATTCGTCAAAGAGCAAACCTGTCAATAATAGCAATGTTTGAGATATTCTCGTCGAAATATTCGAAAAAAATGCCGTAATTTACCTTAGTCCATTTGTCGGTCTGAACATCGTAGCGTTCTACGAACATATTTTGGGTTTTGGTCCAACCACCTATTACATAAATGTGTCGATTGTATACAGCCACCTGTAACATGAAGAGGCATTGGAGGAGTTGGCAATGCAAATACAAAATTTTCAGTTTTTCTCTCAACTTACACCAGGCAAATAGTGCTCTCTAAGTAAAGGTGCGCATGCGGTCCATTTATCCGTATTGGGATCATAGCTTTCAACAGCTTTTAGATCACCTTCGCAGTGGCCACCAATTAAGTAAATTTTGCCATTTAAAGTCACCGCACGGGCGCCGTAACGTGGCGTAATCAGTCCACATACTTCCTTCCAACCGCATGTTTTCGTATAACTAAATTAAACAAAAAAAAAAAAACCCTTGATATTCACTTATTTTCAAGTAAAAAATTTCAAAACAATAATGTTCGAAAATTGCAAACCGAAACTGATACAATTGTACTTACACTTCTACCGATTGTGAGACTTTGACCAGATTCGCCAGTCCACCCATCACATAGATCTTCTCATCCAATTCTGCAACACTGGACCAGTATCGGGCTTTMTGCATGTCGGGCAAACGTTTCCATGTTTTCGTTTTCAAATTCCATCTATTTACGTCCTTTATCGCTTCGTGGTCTATTTTGCCTCCAATGAAATATAAATCATTCTCCACAAGAATTGTTTCGAAACTCATAGGGTTTATTGTGATTTTATCCCATTGCACCCAGGTATCTTTTCTTTTGTTRAAGCGATATATGCAACCGTGATTTGAGTCCTCGCACTGTGAGAAAATTAAAATTAATTACATCATTTACGAAAATCTATTCGGAAAATTGGATTACAACGAAATCGTACAAATTAATTGTAGGGTTTCTAAAATACGGAACTATACGAATATTAAACTAAAATCATTAAAAAATTTACATAATTTCGTCGCACAACTTAAGTCACGCCTTGCTGTCAATTTCTCATACTACAGTATCCGCAGAAATTTCACTTCAGTAATGCTACAAGAACTCCTTCCTCTCAATGTTAGTAATATTTACTGTTACTTACCTCCGTTTGTATGGCCATCAACGCTTTTGTTCTCCAATTACCACTCAGTCCTTTGCGGGGTTCAATGTATTTTAAATATATCATTGTACGCGACAAAGGTTCACATATCCACGACATAGCTTTATAGGCCAATGTCTCGCAACCAGGCAACGGTTTAACTCGTGTCATCAAAAGGGTTAYATCGAAGTTGGTAAGACGTAAGCAAGACATCAACTCTGGCAGCGAGCTTCTGCGATCAGAAACATTGTGGTTAAACCAACGCTCAACTGCGTCAAGGGCATCCTCCTCACTGTTCACATTCAAATTATCACTTTCCACAAGCGCTTTCAATCTTTTTGCGCTGAACCTTAAAAAAAAGTCCTCTCGACTTATCTATAGCAAAAAACAAAATTGGTGTGGGTTATATTCTACAAATTTCATATCAACCCTCTATCGTTTTAGGGAAGATATTGTAACATGCCACATATTTACCTTATAGAAATKATTTATTTCGTATTCCTGTATTCTTTTCGCTAGCCGAACACACTCAGTTTCATGCTCTAACTCATATAACCGCTTTATTGTAAATATGGATACGTTCTCCAAAAGGAAATCAACACAAAGCTCAACCACATCATCCAACTGCATTATCATTGCACCTTTCAGTATCCTTTCCGCATTGTCCTCGGTTATTAGTGATGAGCCCGTATAGCAATATGCTACCAGCCGCTCAAAGGTGTCACTATCAATATCGTCTATCTCGATAACGGGTTTACTGTTTTCCTCATCTAAGAAGAGATTTCTAAAGTACGGACTTGCCGCTGTCAATATCAAGCGGTGTGCAGGAACTCTGTTGAAATTCAAATGAAAATACGATTAATATATAGTACTTTTTAAAAAAAAAACTTATGCACATATATTCAATGCGACTTACAAAAGTGTTGGATTGGACAATTTGAATGTTACATCGATAAGATGTTGAGCATCATAGCACTGCCAAATGTTGACGACCAATCTTGAAACGTGGACCAGGGTTTTGTTGGACCCTATTGCTGAAAGTATTTGAGGACCACCGTTTAATATTTTTACTTTTTCATCTCTTTTTTATCTCTTACTTTTTTCCACCGAACTAAGAAGGAACTGAAATTCATAAAAATAAAAAAAAACAATTAAAATGTCTACGCTTGCTGTTTAAAAACAATAATGTATGTTTAAAGTGTATAAATGTTCGCTTTATTMTTGAAATATTTTTTGTTTTGAAGATATAGAGAAATGTGGTAGTAATTAAAACCCATAAAAACTGCCCTCAGAATAAATTTCTCGCGGTGTAATAATAATCAGCTTTCCGAAGATAAACTTTCACTTTTGCAACTCACTTTACATGCAACGTGCAACTGCCGCAGCAATCACTTTACGAAATTCCGCTTTTTGGAAGTATTTTACTCTCCCGTCACCACATTACAACATACATTGTATGTTGTTAGTAAATATTCTCAGAGAATAAGCGAATGTATGTATGTTAGTTCACACAGGAAGCATTTTGTTGCCGAAACTAGTTGTTGTTGTTGTTGTAACGGCAGAGTTCTGCCGAGTTGACAGTCCTTGGCCGGATAAAAATCCGGGTCCGTTCCGGTTTCCGTAGATCCGACTGTCGTGGGTTACCTTACCTTACCTTGCCGAAACTAGTCGTTTGTGGTGGTGTGGAGACAACGGGCCGCTCGTGCTTGGGTAACATTCCTTATATTTTTGTTCSTAAGAGATCGCTGCGACGTAGTTCGACATTTCTTTTCATTTCGAAATGTATAAAAGCGATTCAATTGTGCTCAAATGAACAAAGTCAACAAACATACATCTGTATGTATCTATGTTCAGAAATTTATTAGATAATTTTAATATATATAATTTTAATATATGATGAAAACCAGCTTTTGAAAAAAMATTTTCAACAAAATGAAATAAACAAGAATTTCAGAATACCATATGACAGGGCAAGCAGAAATTGAATGCAATAGTTAACCCAAAGAGAAAAGTTACCGCTAATGAGCAACAAAAGTTTCATACTCTGAACTTCAACTTAATATGACGTCACTGTTACAACTTTCGCTCTGAGAGCATTGAAAAGAAAAGYATAAAACTTTTTGTAAACAAAGCTGAAAAGTGTAGTTCTGAGAACGACTATACAAACATACACAGTCACCTCACCGGTGACATCAACGAACAGCTGATATTGTTACGTTCACGAAGCAACAACACACGTGTTCAACCGCTATRTTCTCGTAATCCCATCAGAAAACTGCATTTTTATCGATGAGAGATACACTCTGAGAGCAGGAAAAGTGGMGAACATAGAATCGTGGCCCGTGTCAGCTGATACGGCCCATCTTATGGGCTGGCAACCTCACATCACTCATTTATCTCCTACATTTTCGCYTAAGAAAAAATTCATAAATMTTTTGATGTAGATGCACCGTTATGTAAATAAACAGTTCGAGTAATATTTGCACTTATTATTTGGACRCAAAAAATATTTATCCTATCGAGAGTAATTAGTCTTCGCTGGTAAGCCTATGACTGCGCCTCAAATGAAAGTATAATTTTAGTATTGGTTCATTTCTTTCAAGGTAAAACRGAATTTTACTACAGATTTAATAAATTTGCATTTAATAAGGGAATTTCTGTTATGGTGAAAATGYTTTTGTTCTGTTTCWTAGAAAAAGATACGATAAACTGAAGAGAATCGAATCTTAATTGTAGAAGATGGGAAAAGGTTTGAAAAGTATCAAAAAATATATGAAAATTATTCCATTTGCATCGGAGAGACAAGAAAGATTTTTTAATACTTCAAGAGAAGGAAGAGTGCAAGATTCAATAGGAAGGAGGTCCAAAGTAAAAAATTTTTGTACGCGCTGAGCGACTTGTGCAAGAAAACCTTGAAATTTTTTCGCGGGAGTTGATTGAAAGTTTTATATTGGATGTTTCCATTAGTACAATGAAAAGAAAACTACAAACATCTGGTTTCAAAAACTATGTCGCAAAAAAATCACCCATGTACACTGACTCACACTATAAATGGGACACCCCAAAAACTATTTGATTTTTTAACTTAAAATATAAATAGTAAGAAAAGTATGATAATTTTTTAAAAAATTCTTTTTTATTTCAAATAAGACATATATTTTWTATATATATATATTATATTCAAATTCGAGCTAAGGAGTTAAAAACACGTAAGGGAGAGTGGTGTAAACCTTCGGGTCGCTTAAAACCACAGTGCATACAATCATCAGTGAGGCATGGAAGATGTTCTCTCATGGTTTGGGCTGTTTCTCAAAATTTGCTGTAGGTAGTGAACTTAAAATCGATGGACGAATGACATCATCATATGTTAACATTCTTAGYGCAAATTTGAAAATGAATGCGTAAAAAGTGAACTTGGGGTGGTTTATCCTCCAACAAGATAACGACCACCAACGCACATCTCGCATGACTACTCRCTTTTTTGCAGAAGGCTTATAGAAAAACTGCCTTGGCCAGCTCAGTCACCGGGTTATAATCCATTAAGCATTTGTGGTTAGTTTTTGATTCTAAAAAGAGTCAACTTGGCATTATTCCAAAGAAAATATTAGAAAATCTGGTTCGAGGAATGCCAAAACATCTTCGTGCAGTAATTCAGTATAAAGAAGGCAATATTAATTACTAAATTTACTTTTAAACCAAAAGTTTCGTGTTTCTTTCAAAATGTATAGTTTTATTTGACCACTTTTATTTAAAGGTCCTTTTTTTAAAGTGGAACACAATTTTTTCTTTCTATTCTGGGGAAAAAATATATTAATTTATAATTTGTTACTTAAATACCTATGTAAATGTAATATTAATGTATGAATTATTAATTGTTTATTTTAATAAAACTGCATTGAAATAACGTGTGAAATTTATACTTTCATTTGATGCCTAGTGTATATACTGTAGTAATTATCAACTTTTATAGTTAAATCTGTTCAATATGTTTGAAATTTTCTTAAAATAACTCAAAATCAGAGTCGAATGCTATTATTTATAAATATATAAACTATTTTTAACAGTTTGTTTTCAGTTTTGCTATTTTATATTATAAAAAATTGTAATTGAAAACATAAATGTGTACAAAACTATATGAGTACTGATCAATGGCAACATTGTTCAAATGAAAACAAACAAAGATGGCTGATTTCTGCGTTTTTGCCACGTTCTCAAGTGTTCACATATTTTGCTCAATGAGGAAGGAAAAGGAAGGAAGGTAGTAGTTTTGTAAAGGAACATTGTTAGCATTCTTAAAATTTGAGTACAGATTCGTAAACAAATGCGTCGGCAAATGCAGGTCCGCGATCTTCGTGTGCAGATATTTCTCTTCGTTGATAGCTTTCCAACTTTTGCATTGTCGTTTTGACCATTTTTCAAACTTCACTAATTCTTAAGTTATGACRCAATAATTTACCTATAAATAATTAAATCTTATATGTATATCTTCCGTACCGAGTTTGSTGGGGTATCACTACTGGGCTTCCACATCTCTATATTTTTATATACAACAAAACAACGGCGGCACTGCAATACAAMAACACAACCTAACACGTTTGATATTTGACAAATACTGAATGGCGTATTGAACACAATGCTCGCGACAGACTGCAGCAGCACGACGTTGAACTGAAAATGGCGCTGTGAATCMTACWACATGAACGTTTTTGAGAGGGCAGCAACATAACAATGRCCGCCATGTACACAAAACAACGCAGTTGCCATTTTGCACGTACACAATTTCGTTGTGGCCATACTAATATCTTGCACTTCAATGAAATTTCAATATTTTGTTCAAATTGAAATTTTTTAAGCAAAAAATAAGTAGGTAAATTTATTTGTTTTATATTATCAATTGTTATTATAAATGCTCTGTTACGGCTGTCAAGTTTTTTAGAGCTGTGAGTAATTTTACATTTTACATATTATTGGCATYACCACTCTACTGTCGTTGGCAAATATAGGATTAAATTGAAGTTAGCGAGAACGACAACTGTCGGCCTGCAGTCGTGTAGTCGTGCAGCTGTCAAAATAGGTTCGGCCTTAAGAACGTGTGTATTTTAATATTTGACAGATGTCGTTTGCAGTCTGTCGCGAGCATTGTATTCCACACATGGTTCTACGTTGCAATGCCACTCTGGTGAATGCACTTAAGCCAATCGCGCTGCAGGGTTGCCGCAAACAAAAACATTTTTTTTTTGTTTTTAAAAGGATTATAGGAGTAATTTATTTGAAGCACATGGAAGGTTGATATTTACATACAAATTGATTTTGAGTATGATGATGCTCTTTTTTAAGTGCATTCATATAAAAAGATTTAAACGTAAAGTCAAGTAAGTGCCGTGCCTAAATAAACCCGGCAGCGGCAAATTACTGTCAAAAATTTCTCATGCGCATACCTAAATAAACGCGTTGGCAACACGGAATGGGCCAAATTTGACTTTGACAGTACGTTACGAAGTAAAGTTGGCTGCAGAAGGGGAAGAAATTGTATTATTAATAAATATTTTTTATTATTAATAAATTCATTCATTTTGCATGTATTTTTTTGTTTACTAATTTTAGAATTTAAGCAAGAGTTTGACATCTGTCTTCTTTTTACACTTGCCAAGCAACAGTCGACATTTTTGTTGGAGAGAAACACAGAAAGCAAAGCTTTCATTGTGGCAAACACTTTTTTTTTTTGCGCTTCCTTATTTTAGTATGAACTGTCACGCGAAGCGAGGAAAGTGGTATGTGAATAGGCCTTATTACTTGTTCGGTGTCTTCACAGAACCCCAAGATTATAAGCATCAAAAGTAGTGATGCTTTTTCAAAAAAAAAAAAAAAACATTTAAAATAGAACAATAAATAAAGAAAACCAAATCTGCTCTACAAAAAACAAAACGTTTGACTTCGATAAACATGATGTTTGCAAATTTAAAATATAAAATTGAGCTCCCCTCGTATATAGATATGTAAAAATATTTGTATGTATGTATATATATAAGCCATATGTAAGTAATTGAACGAAGAGAAGAGAGATGCAGCTGTATGCCTACATGCTTTTATTATTATATTTTGTACTCGAGAGTAATTTAACAGTGACGTCACGAGTTTGCAAATACTCTCCAGAGAATGTAGATGTCTGTACTTTCACTCAGCAAACAAAAAAGAAAAATATAGGCAGAAGTTGTTAGTAAACAAAACTTAAAAAATAASGTGAGGATAAGGTAAGGAAATATTTTGTTGTTGTAGGTCCGGAAGTTTAAATTTATGTACATACATACATATAAATACATATGTATGTATAAATACATATGTACGGTGCGTTGTAGTATGAATTGTAGATGCATAGATATATACACACATACATATGTATGTATGTGTATCCAACACTTATTTAATAATCATAATCAGACAAAAGAATAATAGAGCAAATATTTACAGACATACATACTTACATATGTACTTTTGTATATCTTAACCCTCGTGAGAAGTACACCGCACTTTTGAATACTCTGCTTGCAGCCAGCGATTACAAAGCAACTACCTGTGGAACATGTGTAGAAAACGTTAAATAAATATAGTACGTCTGCATGTACGTATATATGGATTTAGAGCAATAATGAAATATATACCATATTCGTATTTTATCATTCTTGCTGTCACAAAATAAACTCGTTTTCTAAGCAATCTGACAAGTATGGATATATGTACATATTTGGACCATTGAGTAGACTCTGAAATACAATATTATAATACTATACAAATTGCATGTTGTATAAAATCAATGATAGATTTTACAGTATTGGTCACTATTTTCAAAATATGCACCAGTCAAGTGCTTTGGTTTTGGATAATAGCACTGTGTGTACTTTTTATATTTAAAAGAAAGAGAAACCCTGCAACTTTAATTTTTACATTTCTCCAAAATTGTTTAAAATAGGACATTTTATTGACGTTTTGTTTATATTCGATTCCTTCAAAACGTTTCTGCCAATTTTCGAAAAAGTTGTTAAAATCAATTTCCGGAATAGCCCTCAACGTTTACACGTTTAATGTTTTMAATTGATGCAAAACCGGGTTTCCCCGGAACGGCCGTTTTGAATTTGCTGAATAGCCATAAGTCACTCGGAGTTAGTCAGACGAATACGGTGGGTGTCTCGCGATGTTGATTRAAAATTTGCCGAAAAACTCACGAAGAATCAATGCTGTACGCAACMCCGATTATCGAAGACAACTGTCAACATAACCTTGATTTTTGACCTGCTTTGTTGCAGTTCTTTTACCTTTTCTACGATAATCGGTGGATTGGTGTGTTTTAAGTATAAATCCATGACTCATCGCCAGTAATAAAGCGTTTCATAACATCCTGGTAGTTTTCACTTTTCTTACGCCCAAACGAGCTTTTAGAATGGTTTTCATTGCTCCTTCCGATATTTCAACAATGGTAATAAGATCTCTGACGTTTAATCGTTGATTCTCAAGCACCAACTCATTTATTGAATTGAGGTGCTGATCATCAGTTGATGTTGTTGGCTGTACAGGTCATGGTTCGTCGTCAACGCGTTCTCGACTTTCTTTGAATGATTTGCACCAATCAAGGACTCTTGCACGCGACAAATAAATATCACCGAAGTTTCACATTATGAACGTTTCGGCACCAGAAATTTGATTCCGCAGAAAAAATGTAACGGAATTCTGTAAGCAGTCTCTAGTCCCTATTTGAGACATTTTGAGGTAAAGTCTCACTTTATGACTAGTTAATATTCACAACACACTCTCTGGTTTTATTCACAAAATATTGTCTCAAATTTGTGACCTGATAGTTAACAGGTCACAAAATTGTCGTTTTTAATATTTTGTAAGCAATTCAAACTCTGAAACAAAGTCAACATACATATATTTTTATTTTTATGACTTCGTTGTAAAAAATTTAATATTTGTTATCGATACACAGATTTATTTTCATTCAAGTGTTAATGCAACTCTAAATAATGAAATGTAAAAGCTAATTAGACCTGTTCGTTTTCAGTTGAGCGATTTTTGTGATTGTCACGTATTGAATTGCAAAATAGTATCAAGTCATGAAAATTGTCTCTAATGTAAAATCTCAATTTTAGAGACTTGTACAGAATAGCTCGGTAAGAAGTCCTACTATTTTTTGCACACAGTAGTACCAGGGTTAATGGGATGCCCAACTTATTCCAGTGTGAGAGGGCCTCAAAATAAGCGTTTTTTATAACATTTTCCATTATGGCCAGCTCGCACCAAATAAGAATTTTTGGACATTTTAAATTAAAATACCCAACATTTATTACGAATACAAATTATTATATATTGGACTTTTAATATATGGCGAAACTACTTAATTCCTTTTTTATGATTTTATGGTATATTAAAACAGGAGTTCGGGATCTCATTATCTCTGGTAGTACTCTCAGTGTTACAGTTTTCATACCGACTGAGTGATGGGGCACCCTCTAAGTCCGATGATTTAGCCAGGCATTTCATTTCTTTTGATTCGCAAAAAGTGCTCAGTTGCTTATACAATTATATATTTAAATATACATATGCATACGCTTCTATATAAATATGACATAAGTATATGATTGACGCAGCGCTAGAGGTTGTGGAAAAAATGAAAACTTCTCTCATTTCCAAAAAAGTCATTTGAGAACTGTGACATTTAGATATACACATTCACAACCTACAGTGAGTTAGTTCGTTTTAGAAACATACTTATGTTCACATTAGTTTATGTAGATATGTGTGGATGTACATATGTTTGCCTATCTCTAATCTAAAGGCCGAAGTTGGTTATRYTCACCCAGAGAACTTAAAACATCATACAAAATTCAATTTGCACCTTCTCTATGTTTTAAGTTCTCTGGTTCACCTAGGCAGTTCTGAGAGACCCAATTTTAAACGATTTATGAGAACTTATCAACAAACAATACGCCTGCAGAGAACATAAAGACATGTTTTAAGTTCTCTGACGCCAGCTGCTGATATGTACATACATCTGTACATCGCCGTAACAGGAAATACAACATGGCCGTAATCTCGAGAAATACCACATGGTGTGGGCAATTGAAAATTTGTCTGCTTGGCGTTCTCAAATTTATATACAATATATGCTTAAATGTATATTATTTAATTGAGTATATAAGTTGACGCGGCATGAGTACTTTGTTTTGCCGGTGCGAAAAAGCTTTATAAAGAACAAATTGCATGACCAACTTTATTGTGTCTCTCGCCTTACAGCTGTGAGTGTCTAGTTCCGCAAATTTTTCAACAAAAAAGTGAGTCTGTATAGTAGTTATAAGTGCAGTGATGTCATAGTAATCTATATATTTTTGTACTATAAGTGTTCGACGTTCATAGAAAATATTTATCGTTTTGCTCTGCTAGCACGGATGAAGGCATTTAGCGGTGTCAGAATTTATTCGCAGCAAGTTTAATTTATTCGCTAAATGCAGGTTCTGTGGCAGAAAAATCCTGGCGTTTCAATATTTTCTGCTTTGCTTTAGCAAATGAAAATATATTTGTAAGCAATGTTGACTAGAGAAAATGTTTGTGATTTTAAAGCGATGCAAAAGTGAAAATCAATGTGCACATACATACACATATACATGCATACGAACATGCATATGTTCAATGTGATGCTAGAATTTTCTAACAACTTACTTCGAAAACTCCATTCTGCCGGATTCCAATTGGATTCAGTCAAACGCTTATTTAGTAGAGGGAGAGGTGTWAATAAAACGAGGAGACTTTGTAAAAGAGAATGAGTAAATTTGTAGTATATAAAAGAATTAACAGAACTGAAGCAAAATAGTTAATAAATCAACATGTTCGAGTCTCAGTTAGCGATGGATAGATTGTTTACAGAATCGATTCTCGATTCCGATTATTTTTTATATTTTTAAATTCTAAGAATCGATTAATCGAGCGCAAGAATCGATTCTTTCGATTTTAATCGATATTAAATTAAAAGGACAAAAATTTATTTATTAAATCACAAGGCATAAATTGAATGAATAATTCAAATCGATTAAATAAAACACAAAAATAGTTACAACATAATTATATTTTTTTGTCAAAAATAATGTACCAAGAACATTACATTTAATATAAATTTTTTTTTTTAATATTCAAGTTGTTTAAACAAGTTTAATAAAATAAGTTTTTAAATAAATTTAAAATAAGTAAAAGAACAATAAGCTAATTGCCAGTTTAAAAAAACCATACATTTTTCGGGACAGTTCTTAAAAACAGAAGCATATTTAAAATTTATTGTAGCTTAAATGCTAACACAACACCCTAATAACCTGAAAGTAGCAAAAAAAGTGTTACACAACACCCTAAGATTTTCTAGAGTTGAGGATATGTATGTAAACAAAGCAAAGGTTTATTACTGTATATACTGAGGTATGTATAACACGAAACTAGTCATTTAATTAACAGTAAAGTCGAATGTCAAGAATCGATTCTTAATCGACTTGGACTACTGAAGATCGATTCCGAGAAATCGATTATTTTAGGAGAAAACTCGATCCTTGAGTAGAATCGGAATCGAGTTTATCATCCCTAGTCTCAGTTAGTGCATTAGTAACAGCTAGCAAAGGCATTATATATGGCTAGTCGAAAAAGTCTTTTCGTATTTGTCAATACGATTTTGTTGTTGCAGTCGTATATCTCCAGTGCTGCCAATCATATTGTTTTTAATGATACGCGCCATACACATTCGCAAAGTAGAATTAAAAACGAGTATTTTAAGACATTTCCCGTCAAAATTGGTGCACGTTTTCGGAAAAGCCGCTTTCCTGAACCTTTACCAAAAAAAAAAAGTTGAAGTTTGATTAGAAATACGAAAACACTTTTTCGACTACGCTATATTTGACGCAAAAATTTTCAGTAGAAATACATACATACATATATGTATGTAGGTTGAGTATATGCAGCGAAACAAGTGTCGCAAAATCGGTGCCGTTRTTTGTTTGCTCAAACATCCGCAATGTAACACAATTTACTATAGTACATTTTATTTTATTCTCAACAGACGCTCAACGCTACCTAATACTATGGATTTATATTACTTGCCCGGTTCTGCACCATGCCGTTCAGTACTCTTGACTGCGAAGAATCTCGGCATCGAATTGAATAAGAAATTATTGAATTTGATGGCTGGTGAGCATTTGACACCGGAGTTCATTAAGATTAATCCACAGCACACTATTCCCACCTTGGTGGACGATGGCTTCGCTTTATGGGAATCGCGTGCCATTCTTGTTTACTTGGTCGAGAAATACGGCAAGGACGATGCCTTATTCCCTAAGTGCCCCAAGAAGCAAGCTGTTGTTAATCAGCGCTTATACTTCGACATGGGTACCCTATACAAGTCACTCGCCGACTACTACTACCCACAAATCTTCGCCAAGCAGCCGGCTGATCCAGAGCTATACAAGAAGATTGAAGCCGCTTTCGACTTCCTGAATACTTTCCTAGAGGGTAACAACTACGTGGCTGGCGATCAATTGACCGTGGCTGATTTGGCTATTTTAGCTACAGTATCAACCTTCGATGTCATACAATTCGACTTCAGCAAGTACGCCAATGTTGCCAGATGGTACGAAAATGCTAAGAAAATTCCAGGMTGGGACGAGAACTGGCAAGGTTGCTTGGAATTCAAGAAATTCCTGGGCTAAATGCTCCAGCGATGCTAATTGTCAATGGTGTTATAGTAAGGAATTTACGTTTTGTGTAAAATATATTTTAAGTGATTTCTGTACACATGCATGTTTGTAATAAATATTTTATTGAAAAAAAAAATGAAGAGACTTAATTTTATTTTTGGTGAGCAACGAAATTAAGATTGAAAAACGTTATGTCGGTAAGTAAAAATTATTGTGATTCTACGCGTTATCTTTCGACCGAARCAAAACTGGTAAACTCTGTAACAACATGTTGCGAGAGTTACAAGTATTATACTCTCGCAACATTTACCAGTTTTGTTAATTTAACGGTTCTTGGAATCAAAAAGATGAATCAAGCTAGATATAGGATTATACATACATATACATATGTATACAGATGATGAGACGAGTTGAAATCCAAGTGGCGGCCTATCTGTCCGCCTGTCCTTAGCAACATGTTGCAATAGTATAAAAATATATGAGAGCAAATTTTGCAAGATCATTGATGGGGACATAAATTGTAAACACAAATACATATATCCAAAACGTTTTTTACATAGGACAACAAAAAAATTGTATTAATGTTATCATTTTTAAATTCAATCTTATCACATTGACCTTGAAACGGGAACTACACTAGCGAACGAAAAAAGTTAAGTATCTAATGGTAGGTGCTCCTGTGAGGTAAAATTTAAAATACGTCAAATGCGCCGGGAGGCGTGTTAAATGAGATTCGTCTTATCAGCATATTGATAAGAATTWGCTATGAGTCAAAATTAAACTTATCAAGAAAGCGATTTCACAATTTTAACAAAACGAAAATGAATATCGATATTGTTTATCTGAAAAGCAAAAGATTTTAATTAAGAAAAATTTGGTGCAAATGATTTTMAATTTTTGTTTAAAGAAAAATGAATGAAACCCCTAATTATAAAGGCTGTTTCGGAGTTATGTACATGTATTCGGCATATTTCTCTTATGTGTATTGTAAATTGTTTCTCTCGCGGCCTTTCTGCTTTCAATATCACTCTCATGTTAGTTTAATTTGTTTACACTCAGAYTAAATAATTGTGTATAGCTTAGACTATAAATTTACATATTAAATGTAAAACGTTTTGCTGTAAGAATTACTTCAGTTTCAGAGCATTTTTGTCGCTGAGTGAGTCAAGTTGAACGGTTAAACATTATTAATTTACTGTTGTTTCTTTTACCACTACCACTAATATAAAGTTGTGGATTTTTTCTTCATTGTAGCTTAAAAACTCCGACGTCAGCAATATGGACTTGTACTTTTACCCCGGTTCTGCTCCATGCCATGCAGTATTACTCACTGCTAAAAGTCTCGGCATTGAATTGAATAAGAAATTTCTAGATTTGCTAGCGAGGGAAAATATGAGCAATGACTTCGCGAAGATCAACCCACAGAAAGTCGTGCCSACTTTGGTTGACAAGGATTTTGTGCTGTGGGAATCACGTGCGATTATGATTTTCTTGGTGCAAGAATACGGCAGAGATGATTCATTGTATCCCAAGTGTCCCAAGAAGCGAGCTCTCATCAATCAGCGCTTATACTTCGACATGGACACCTTGTACAAATCTTTCGCCGACTACTATTATCCCCAACTCTTTTTTAAGAAACCAGTGGTTCCTGAACTGTACAAAAATATGGAGACTGCTATGGACTTCTTGAACACGTTTCTAGAAGACAACAAATATGTGGCGGGTGATCAATTGTCCSTGGCTGATTTTTCTATTTTAGCATCGGTGTCCATATTTGATGTTGCGAATTTCAACCTCAGCAAGTATGCCAATGTTGCCAGATGGTACGAACATTGTAAGAAACTTCCGGGTTGGGACGAAAACTGGGCAGGTTGCATGGAATTCAAGAAGTTATTTGTGTAAGCAGAAACATCCGTAAGAATATATGAATTACTTGACTATCAAAAGCGGAGTTTGGGTTTACAACCAAGAGGAATATCTACATATTTACACTCTAATCAGAATAATTAATTGTRATCTATTTAAATGTTTAATAAATTGTTTTATAATTGATACACATCTGACGTTCTTCACCAATTGTTTTCTCTGCCTCACTCCAGTGAAGTAAAAGTCATAAAATACGGTACAACTAAGACCATAAGAAGCCCCATTTATCTACAGGCCGTCTTTGTTCGAATTAAGAATCTGGAAGTTTTAAGTATGGGTGACTCATGATTTCCGACAGAAAATGAAAAATKAGCTGAACCTTTTATAACAAGCTTGAATTCAAATGTCAAGTGAACTAGTATTCATACTTCACTGTCTGGTATATTTGCGTCTATATACATATATATGTACATATATATATATATTTATGTACCGGACACGCCCTCATGTGATAATACTTGTGAATTGTAACTGTAACTGTTTGCCTGTATTTAAAACAATTTAAGTAATTATTGCGGCTGAATTAAAGAGACTGCTTTTAGGAAAAMATGCTTGTTGGATTTAAATGTTCGTTTAGATAATGACAGGGCAGAAAGCTATATTATTTTCAAATAAAGAGTCACTGAGTTCGGCTGGAACCAAACATTTGTTTCGCTTGCGGAATAGAACGGGTTGAGGCTTTTTTGGATTTCTTAAAGCAACTACATACCTATAGTTTAGTCTAGTCTTTGATATAAAATACATTCAGTCGAATTAATAAGAAAAAAAAAACTTTTATGAAGATCTTTATCTGTTAGTGATTCCGACAAACGATCAGCTTCATGGAGAGAACGAATGTAAAAACAACTTCAGTTCGATATTTTAAAATATTTTGCGTATATACAGAATGGATCTCGTRGTGAACGAGGGCAAGACGATTTATCTCTTGTAATCAAACAAACRGTAGTCGCACTCACGACTTGGCTCCGACATGATTGTTGACAGCCCTGACTTCGTCTATCTTGGAACCGGTATTAACACCAACAATAATGTCAACTTCGAAACCCTGAACGAGAAGGCAATTGAGAAGTAAAGCCATCTCTTGACGAACAAATAACAAACTCGAGGCATAGAGGCATATACGATAACAAAATCTGATGAGTCCACATTACGAGTTTTCGAGAGAGAGGTTGTGTACGAGATATACGACAACATTGACATAGTTGAGCGAATTAAGAAACAGCGGCTGCGCGGAAAAGRTCATGTCGTCTGAATGCATGAAAACACTYTGAGAGTATTCGACGTAGTAYTCGCCRGGGAAGCAGAGGAGTAGGAAGACCTCCACACCGACGAAAAAATAGGGAGGAGAAGGACTTGGCTACGCTTGGAATCTCTAATTGGCGCCAAAMTCAGCTCGTAAGCAGTGTCTACGCCAATAAAGAAAAATAATATACTGACTTAGTTCGTCGATAAAGGTTCCAACGATCCATCTGAGGTTTCCAAACTTCATGGCTTTTTTAATAGAGCATGATCAAGGTACAAAAGTCTAAAATATATCTTTAGTAGTAGTAAGTGATATACTATGTAATTAATTCCAAGATAGGATATTGGTCGGATCACCGACTTTTCTGAAATGTTTAGGGCGCACGTCAACTGGCATGTTCAACAATATATGTCAGTATTTAAACAAATTTATAATAATATATGCAATTTATTTGGTACTCTACAGCTAATCCATCTTGGAGTTTCGCTAACTCAKATATTCTATTTCCATTATTGTCGCTTACCTGCTTCGACATTGCGGTTATTGTTTTTGTATTTAAGTACAAAATGACTTGGCATATTTAATAACTATGGGAAATGCGTTCTTTGACAATGATGCGTCTATTACATACATATGCATGTTTATGTATTTATCTATTATTATACATGTCATCGCTCAGAAGTGGTCTAGGCATTTTACCGTTGCTTCTACGATGACTTGCATTTTGTAAACGGCGCTACTTATATACATATATACTTATATATGTATGTACCTATGTGTATGTAGATTAAATTTTGCAACACTGCATGTACATACATATGTATATATTAATACCGTTTCTTACATGAATTTCGCAATCATTTTATTTCCTGCAGTTGAAAACCACAAAGTGATTAGATTCTTTGCCTTTTTTTTGCATTGTGCTGGGAACCACCCTGTACATTTTGTGCCAAATCATAATTATATTAATGAAGTGTAAATTGATTTAAATGCAAACTAATTACAGCACTATCGTTTAATATGAACGGATWTATTCCCCTGAGATGACACGCTAATAATTCAATTACATTGCAATTCCACAAAAGWGGCAGTGGCATCAAAAACACACTAATCAGAGATATGCTTTAAAGCYAAAGAACATTAAGATCTAATAGATTACACGGAAAATTCAGTTTTCATATGATATTTTAGTTCAAAAAAAACTTTCTTTCAAATTTCACAGAATACATTTTATTTAATAAAGTGATAAAAATAAATAGAGGAAAATATATTTTATTTGTTCTTTTAAACATTTTGCTTTCAAACATTCAGCTGTTTTTAAATATGGAAGGGGGTATTTTAGTCTTGAAATTTGAAAAAATCGAAACATTTTTTTTCATAATTCGATAGTTTCGATATTCAAAAATATTTCCATAAAAGGATTTTTCAAAGCTCAAATGATTTTCAAAGTTATAGCCATTTTAGTTACGTGGCAACTATACCGGTTGAGCGAACTATCTATCTATCTATTAYGTTGAYCAAAACTTAACGTAAAACTTTAAACGCGTTTTTCTCAAAACTCCTTTTTTGATGCGGTAGCCACAATATCTCAAGTTCTAAWCAGTCGATTTATTTCAAGGCATGAATATTCTTTAAATAAATACATATATCTCTATCACTAAATTGAAAAATTAGTGAAAAAATCGACCTTTTTTATTATTGTTGAAAAGAGCTCGAAATCCGAGCCTGTAGACTAGAATACCCYCTTAATGCGTGGCAAAACCTGTCCCAATATTAACAGCCACCACTGTTTGATCGTTTTCATAGAATTTCACTTCGACCTTTTGCGAAAACATTTGCATTGTCTTTGTTACCGTCTGCGCAAGCGCATAGCTGCAGTTTACCTGTGCAACGATAAGAAAGGACACTCGCAGCAAGAACCTGGCACCATACAAATAGAGATACATACATACGAAGAAAATGAATTGTTAGTCAGTCACAACATTGAGAAAATTTGAATTTGTTAATCTAAAAACCGAAGGTAAGCAGCCACGTGAACCGGATTAGTCTCTGGAAATGCAAACGCGGCTGGAGGCGTATTATAATGAATTGCAGCGCAGCCTTGGAAATTAGGTATAAATGAAAATACCCGGAAGTATCAGTGGATATTTCCAGTCTCGTGTGCTAAATATGTGTTGTGGATATAAAGTGTCCTYACAGCCTGGCTATAAAAATTAATAAATAGGCGTAGTGCAGTTCAGCGGCGATCAGTCGCTTTGATACGTCAGAAGCCGCACAACTTTAAGAGCACAACACTTTGAAGGATTGCTGAGAGATGACACCTTCCAGATTGCTGAAGTGCTTCGCGCTCATACTTYTACTGGGATTAGGAAGTGCGCACGCGGTGCCACTAGATTCAGTGGCGAATGCGCCGACTCCACAAGTTGAAGTCGTCGATACAAATGTAGCCGAAGCKCCAAACCCTGGGGATGGGCATGAAACGCCCGCAAATGAGACTGAACTTAAGGCTGCTGCCAGCGAACAAAAACCACAAACTCTTCCGGCGGTATGTTGTTACTGTACAATAATTTCTAAATCTACTTCAATACTACATCATTTCATTTCATTTTAGTCGAATTCAGGCAGCACGAATGGCGATGCAGCAACCCCGATGTACGCCGGCTTTCTTACACCCGAGGCCATTCAGCAGTATATTAGTCAATTTGGTGCGGCCTATCCCGGTTATGCCGCCTATCCGGCGCCCATCGGCTATGCGGCTGCTGCGCCTCCACCACCACCACCTGGCACCGGCCCCATCTATCCGGGTCCATATGTCGTGCAAACTGGCTATGAAGGCTATTTAGTGCCTACGGCTGATCCAGCTGCAGAAGCTGCAAATAATAGCAACAGCAACTCACTTCTAAGTCCTTTCACCTATTTGACGAACCTCTTCTCGGTGATGATGATGTCGGCCTTGTTTCGCGTCGTTGCCACTGTTCTCGGTGCGATCGGCATGATATTCTTTGGCGGCGCCCTGTCCAGACTTGTCTGCAGCTTCACACCGCTTTGTAACGTCACCACTACAGCTGTGGAGTATTTGAAGAGCGACAATGCGGAACGTGTGGGACGCATGATAGCCGAGGGCATGACACCGGAACGTGTGCGACGCGCTACGGTATTTGTTCAGAACGCAATACGCAAATATCACGAACTGCAGAAGCTTGTGGGAAGTGATGAGAAGGATGACTAAGGCGCAACATGACTTTTGATGAGKGTCTAAGGAGAGATTTTTTTTATTTCAATATTAGTTAAATGCATATGTAAATAAACTATTCTAAAATGTTACTAAGAAAAATATAAATAACAAAATAATAATAAACTAACCGCAATAAACCAACATTTATTGATAACACTTACGTCGCTTGGCTTTTGAAAGGCATTTTGAAGTCTAGCTTCAAACCTGTTATGTGAGTAGAAGAAGTCAATGCTTTTCTACTGGGATGCTATCATAATGCACTTAATAACTCGCACTTGTTATTAATCTATAAGCTAAGCTCAGCTGTATTGGTGCTGATGTCAAAATTGCTATCATCATTACGAGTCACATGTGTATACTCTAAATAGAATATCATATTTTCGCTCAATGTATGTTTTATTAAACCTAAATTGGCCTAAGATGTTCGTCCGGATGCAACTTTTATTTGAAAAAAATTTAAAAATGCTTCGAAAAGATATAAAGAAGTAAAGAAGGGCTAAGTTCATGTGTAACTGAACATTTCATACTCTTGCAACTTTCCAGAATCAAAGCCGAGGAAATACCTTCAGATGTTGGCAAAGCTGTTAATGATATTGTGAAAGAATTCAAGATTCTTGTTCGACGAAATGTTAATGAATTTCATCAAATTAGTRTCTTAAGAACTAATCAGGTTATATAGTGAGCAGACTAAGATAGTATCATTACTACCTCCCGGCAGCGAAAAATATATTGAGAACGTCCTCAAATAGACAGATGATCGGAATTCATTATGTACCTGTAAGGGATATGAAGGATAAACCGGAATTGCGTACTAACATATTCGGTATAAGCTTTGTTATAATAGCGAAAATTTTTTCGAAATTAGACTAAATTATATAGGATAGGATTCTCTCCAAATTTCTATAATATTAGGTTGGAAAATATCTCCCTTCCACCTTTTTGTCTTTTGAATTTGAATTTGACGGTATGCATGAGTAGTTTGGATATTGCGTTCAACAGTTATAGACGTGTAAACATGGAGTTCGCCTACACCGATTTGCGCAATTTTAAAGTTTTCCTCCATTATAAAGCATTGAATAAAGAGCAAAAAGGCGGAAGAGAGATATTTGACAACCTATCGTTTGCCCGGACAGACAGAGATTCGCTTGGAATTCAACTCGTCTCGCCATACTGATCATTTATACAAGGTGTGTTCTAAAGTAAACAGGACTTAAAAAAAAAACAGAACAAATGTTTTTTTCTGTAAAACCAATTTATTTTATTCAAAATAGTCTCGGAATGGCCGCCAATATGCCGGTGCAAGCATTTTGAATGGCCTCTACGTCTGCATAAGCTTTCCTTTTATGGGCAAATGCATTTTTCCAAAAATAAAATAGTCGCACGGTGTCATATCAGGTGAATACGGGGMGTGGTTAATGGTTAAAATGCGATTTTTAGTCAACTAATCGGTCGSCAACTGTCATCTTCGCGATATTCGGGTCGAACACGTTGAATACGGTGCACCAAACGCTTCATAACTCCAAAGTAGAATACAACAATAACGTTCAATTCCATTTCCATGAATATCAATGATGATTTCGGCTGATTTTTGATGAATTCAATCACAGTTTCGATGGAATTTTCGGTGATCACGGATTTTGATTGGTCCACGTGTTGATCGTCATTTATGTTCTCACGACCACTTCGAAAACGTTGAAACCACTCGTGCACTCTGCTACGTAATAGGCAATCATCGCCATAAAYTTGTTTCATCAATTGAAACGTTTCGGCAAAAGTTTTACTAATTTTAAAACAAAATTTAGTGTTGGCTCTTTACGCGAAGCACATTTTCGCACCGATAACACAAAAATACTGACACTTAAAACGCAATAACTTGACTTACAATCTATGAAATGTCATGAAATTCACACTGGACAATCGATAAAGATAGCAAATTCTAACGCACTAGTCGACATGTAGATGGCGCCACCAGGGGCGCTAGATTCAAAAAGTCCTGTTTACTTTGGAACGTACCTTGTATACATATAAAGTATATATATGTAAGTAAGTATATATCACTCCATATTTATCTCGATTATTTTTATAAACCGTTAAGTGAAAAAAACTGTTTTACTCTGTAGCAACAGGTTGCAAGAGTATAAATGTTGATTATTACAGGAGTTGTCCTCCACTCGGCAAACCTTGAAAAGTGACGTCTAGACGAACAAGTGCTTTAATCGATTACAGCACTTTAATAAGACTTTAATAGCTCTTGTTATTATATTTTCACACGTAAATTTTTTAAGCGAGCAGAGTTCAAACTTATCGATTATATTTTATAACTAGTAAATGCGTCAATCAACAGAAAGTCCATAACAAATGTATCACCATGGTATCCAATAGAGGTCACATTATATTTTAGACACGTCGGCTTGTTAAAATTTTAATATAAATGGTTCAAGGTCAGAAAGGGTTCCGCTGGACAATGAATTTAATTACTAGACTACTAATTATCCTACAAGCCAACATCGCTTTAATCACCGGTTAGTAACTCAAGATAGAAAAATACCCACATATACAAACATATCTGTAAGGTCACGAGGTCCTTTGATTAGATGCATTCGTACTTGTTTCTGTTGTAGAGGTAAGAGAAACTGTGTAAGATTTATAACGGGTTTTCCAATGAAAGTGATATGATTTCTTAAAAACAAAAACACTAATTGTTAACGAAATTTAAATGTCCTTTACTTAATATCATTCCAATGACCACTACGACTTCCAGGAACAAATTAGAGGAACCCAATGTTCAAGTACTTTTTATCACTAAAATAAGTTATAAATACGTCATGAATAGCACGTTCCATATTGACTTTCAAAGATTGAAGAGAGTCTGGTTTATTACTAAAGACCAAGGAC